AATATTTTACTGCAGATACAAACAGGAACCTTTTCACATTCACAGATGTAAGCACTGAAGAATTTGGAGACACTGACTGTCTAATCCCAGGTTTGTCATTTTAAAGGACTTCATTTAAAACTATTCTTCTTCTTATTTGCTTTATTTTTCAACTTTTAATTTTATTTATTTTTTATTTTTCTCTACCAGAGTCAAATTTCTCATGGTCCAAACCACCTGGCAAATAAAGCTGATTCTGATTCTAATGTGTATAAATGCTAAATATAGTAGGCAGTGAAGTATTACTACCAACTCAAATGTGCCTGTTTTACATGTTGGCTCACAGATTTCCACGGTGACACCGGCTCACAGTGCTGCCACCCAGTGCAGGCTGCCGCCCACAGCAGCCACTCACAGACACATACCGCAACACCCTGGACATGTGTTTCAGACAGCAACAAGATTGACTGGTTTACAAGCAGGCACTCTGCACCAACTCCTCATTTCTCTGAGAAAAGGAGGGAAAAAAGCTGCCAGGCAGTACAGACAGTTTATTTTTGCTGCCTATAAGCCATAATGAGGTTGTGCCCCGGGGAATCAGTGGAGCAGAATGTTATTAGTGCCTCAAAAAGGAGGAAAAAAATCAGCGGCACCTTCTGCGGACATGGCATAAAGGCAGGAAAAGACTGTCAAACAATTAAAGTGAAGTGAATTCCCTGAGATGGAGAGGGAAAGGGGAGAGAGAGGAAGAAAAAGGAAAAACAAGTGGACCTCCCTGGAAACATGCGGAGAAAACAGCTTCCTTCAGGATGTGGAGGAGAAACGATGAGCTGAGCAGTGGCGTGAAAACCATCTGAAGACCTGGATGTTTTTCCACTGTAAGCGCATGAAAGCCAAGTTTAGATCAAACAGGGTGAGGGGTCATTACTGGACACGTCGCTCTGTATTCAGCCATCTCTAATCAGCTGGATCAAATAACAGATGCACGACAGCACACGTCCTACTGGGAGGATGAAACAAACCTGAACCAAACTGTTCTACCTGATGAAGGGAATCTAACTTCTGCTGCTGGGGATTTATCTATTGATGTGCTTCTCTGAGGTTTTGCATTTTTTGACTGAAACTGTACAATTTTAAAAAAATACAGTTTTAGACTTGAGCAACAGGAAGAAGTTGTCATATCATTAAAAGAAACTTGTGATAACCTCTGATAAAAATAACTCATGTGGTTCCTGTTTCTGCTTCATCTCCATTAATTACACTAATACTGGATGACTCTTGCAAAACTAATGTTCAGTGACACTGCAGACAGTATTGTCCTTGACGTAAGAGCGCGGAGGCCAGATGGCAGGTGTAGCATGTGTCGCTTTCCTGTAGAAGACTGATGTTTGTCACAGATCTGAAATTAGAATCAGTCTTTTCCCTGAGCTTAACCACACACAGTCTGAAAAATGGAAAAATGGTGAAAAATGGTTTTTCAGAATTACCCTCAACAAAAGGAGAGAGAAATAACCTGGTGGAAGATGTACTCAGATCCTTTACAGTGAAAAAATATTGCATTCATAATGCTACTTGACTAAAAACACAAAAGTATTCACATCAAACTATACTTGAAATACCAAAAGTACTGATTCCGCAGATTGGCACATTTCACAGATACTAAAAGCCTGATTATTGTTCATCACTTTAATGTTGCAGCTGGTGAAGGTGGAGCTAATGTGAAATACTTTAGCTTGTGAATTTCCCACCAGGGATCAATAAAGTCTATTGATTGGACTGTAATTTGTTTTATTCATCTTAAGTTATCACAGTTACACATAGCGCAGTAAAAAGCATAAGATTTGTCTATGACATGTTGTGAAGTCACAGTATGAAGTAGCAGAACACGGTACTAATACCTTAACATTTTACTTAAGTACAGTACTTGAGTAAAGGTATTTCCACCGTTGATAACCTGATGCATGAACTGCTATGGAACAACCTACAGTGTCTGTATGCAAAGCCAATGAGCATGAAAATAACAGCTACCAATTTGTGCAACAACCCACAACAACAGTCCACAAAAACAACTAATACCGTCACACATATAGTCACACAACTTCCATCCCACAGGCCGATAAATGGAAACAAACCCATTGACGTGTCTCCTCTCCGACTGGCAGCTCTTCCTCCCACGTGCTCCGGGATGTTTACATTACAGAAAGCAACTTCACAGACGTTGTGTTAAACTCACGTGCTTGAGTTATTTTAATATTTTCATAGAATATTTTCAAGACTGCAGGTTTTCTGAGCACTTGAGTTCACGCTCTGCATTTCTCCCCAAACACTACACCTATGTCGGCAGGTGGAACACTCAGCACCTCATTTTCCCAGCAGCTGAAATCCAATTTTCTCTCGTCAGTCTCTGTGGGCCATGTTCGTGGCACGGCTCCACAACACAGAGGTGGGCGACACATGTTCATCTTCATTCAAAGAAACCCAGATGACTCAGATTTAACTTGCTTAGTTCCATCCTCCATTGTTTCTCTTCGCGTGTCAGGGCAGAAGACACTGTCACTGTTGAAGCAGGGTGAGACCCCGCGAACCGTGCACCTCGTCGTCTGCCCTTCACGGACTGCTGCCTGTGTCATGCCAGCAGCAGACTGACTGGACCGGGACTCTGTTCTTTACTTCTTCCATGTACAGGCCCTCACTGTATTTGAAATCGTGGTCGCCAGGCAGAGGCCGAGCACGTCACACATCTGCCCTGGGCTAGGTCGCTGCTGTGGGACAGTGTGTTGTTCTCATAAAAAGACATTCCCTCATGCTCTCCACTCCTCTGAGGTTGTGAAGAATGAAGGGACAAAGAATACAGTGGTTTCATCTGAGACCAGCTTCAGTTTTCTAACCTTGTTGATAAAATCCTGGGAGCATCTGATCTGGCAGGTGGTGTTAATATGGATGCAGGATGCGAGTGGGGCTCCTTCCTTGTACATCTTGGGAAGCCCATATATGCAAAAGGTGGCTTCTCTAGGGTACAGGAGGTAAAAGAGTGGTCGGTCGATGGCTTCATCTTTTTCCAGTTGATGTAGGCCGTTTGTTACCTTTTTCCTACACAGTTTCTGTTGGATGGATCTCGCCTGAGGACCTCATAGGTAGCTGACTGGTCACCTTGTCCTGGTAGTCGGCTGTCCACAGTACTACAGTAGTACAGTCTCAAGATGGTGCTACTCTGCTCCTCTCAGGGATGTCACGGCCTTCCTTTGTTGGAAAGTATTGCTGCACTGATGAAGGCGGCTGATATCTTCAGCGCAAGTTGTTCTGTTTCTGCCACGTTGTTGATCCCAGTGGCCGACTCAGTGTCCCAAAGTCTGGTGGATGCTATCATGATTGTTTCTACAGATTGACTAGCACTAAGAAAGGCAGACACACAGTATAAAGTTACAGCTGACTTTAGATTCTTTATGACTTTCTGCACAGAGCAACGTTAGTGTCAGAACTTTTAATTAACAGTTTGTTGCCTTGCAAGCAACCTAAAAAAATGTGATTTAAAAAGCTCCAATTATCTGCATCCAAATCTAAAAACTTCAGCTGAACTGGAGGAAAAAACTTCAGTAAATGTTGTCCCGAACACTCTTGTTTTCATGCTCCGTACTGGGGCCTCGCTCGTCACACCCATCAGCTTTGATATGCCGACAATCCCCTCATTAATTTGAACAGTGCACCCAGGTTGAAACATGACAACCCTTCAGCCATTTCCCTATTGGTCGACCCGGGAGCAGCCGAGCGCTTGCCTCCACGGTGTTGGAGGGCCGTTCACTGCGAGCTGAGCAGCCATGATGGCTAACCACCACACCAGAGGCCCCTTTGTTCCTCTCTTTTCTCACAACAACACTTGACAAACAGCTAAGCCTGTCACAGTCCGACATCAAGGTTCAGTGGTCCGTCAACATTTACCAGCAGATAAAGACAGAGAGGGGAGAATTCTCAGCCCTGGAGAGCCTGGCGCTCTGTTTGCAGAGCATGTGTCTGAGAAAGTGTGTGAGAAAAGATATAGAGCGAGTACTTATGTATCTGTTCCCAGTGACAGCAGCCAAACAGAACACACTCATGCAGGGAGGAAGATGGCGTGAGTGTATTAGAGCCTCCCGCCTTCTACTGATGAAAAGTGACGATGGAAGGCTCTGACAAATAGATCCCACCTCCCCTGGGCTCAACCCGAGCAGCAGCTCGTTCTTCGGCCCGTGGGCCTTTTGCTCTGTTTAGAGGAGAGGAGGGCTATCACAAGCTTGGCCGGCTTAGATGTGTTTGAGACGAGAAGCTGGGGCAAAGATTTGGGTTTCGGTTGTGCAGCGCCCACTGAGGACGCTCCAGCTAATAAACAACAAGGGGATTTGACAGCACAAAACAAGCTGCTGCTCTTTGAAACAGCTGGGGTGTAAGGACGCAACCCTGAGGGGGACTTTCATTCATTCCCAGCTAATGATCCATCTTCAGGAATATATATTTATGTGCCTTCACTGGTTGCTGGAAAATGTTTTTCACTAATTGGGCCACAGATGACAGAGCTCTACAAAGTTTCTCTGAAGTTTGTCAAGCAAAATACAAATATCTGCTTCAAACTGCGCACGTTACAACACTGCTCTGCTGTTGAAGTTCAGGAGTAATTCAAAGGGATATAATTAGTTTGCACTGAAACCGAATCTGCGTATAAAATGCAAGTCTAACACTTCACTGACCGCTATGAGGGAGATTCTCCTCAGTGGTTAGAAGTAGCAATTTAAGGTCCAAATCAGAGAGGCTGCAGGCAGCAGAGCATCATGGAGGGGGGAGTATTGCTGAGAGACACCACGTCCTGTCCCTCTGTCACTGAATTTACAGTATCTTAATGCTCCTTTAAATGATGTGTTCATTGCAATTTTGTGACTCTTTCATTTAAAAAAAAAAATCCAGTGTAAACTACAACCTCTGATCAATTTAATGAGACCATTTTGTTTCTTAAATGTCATCTAATGTCACAGCAAAACTCTTCAGACACTTACGTTGCTTGGAGGAGGCATGTGAGGTGCAGGTCACATGATCTAAGTAGTCTCCTCTTCATCTTCTGGTTTCCACATGCGTGTCACCTGTCGGTGCAATTACAGTCGTCCAGAGGCCAGACAACTCGGCCTGACGGCAGGAGGCAAAGAGGCATCAGTCATCACCAGTTTGCTGCGGTGTCACGGTCACTTCAATGTCACGGAGCTGACGTGAGCGCGGCCTGGTTCTTCTCCCTGCAGCCATAAGAGGACATGGGAGAAGAATATCAGGGGAGGCTCATTATTTACTCACAGACCCAGGTTGAGCTCACTGATACTAAAACAACCTGCCAAGTTTCCAAGCCGGAATCTCCTGCTTGTCCACTTTGGCAGCAGTTCTATGACACTAGGCTTCATGCTAACACTTAGGTACACAGTATGTTAAAGGATAACAGGCTTCACGCTACGCCACACCTAGCTGTGTTTTAGTAAACGTTCTCCATGGAAAAGATCGCCCATCTTGAACTTTCATCTAATGTTAGTGCAGGCTTCAGTTTCTATCAGGTGTTTGGACTGAAAACATATACAGCACAAAACAGTTGTTATTATAAAAACAACTGTGTCTGCCCTCAGTAATATAGAGCTAACTGCCGTGTCAATGCAATTTCAGACCCCCAGTCACACAGAGTGTTCTGGCAGCAGTGTAATTCAGTGTCAGAGCCTCAGTGAATCCTCCCCAGCCGCTGTCTGAGTAGCTCACTCAGCTGAATGCGATGGAGGAACCAGGTTGGGTTTCAGGAGCAGGTGTCTGTTGTTTTTCTCCCTCGTGTTTCTCACACTGTTTCGCCACCTGTTCTCATCTCCACTCCTTCCCGGGTTTTTTTCCTCTCTGAGAAGAGCTTTGCAGGTCTCGGAAAACACAGTGCACAGACATTTACCTCAGAATATTACAGCTTAATAAAATGAAACCTGTAACGAGTACAAGAAGAGTAAAATGTTATAGATTGAAAAGAAAAGCCTGTTCTAGTTTAGATTTTTCACTTTTAAAGATCATTTTCTTATGTTTCAATTTCTTTCAGTGTGTGCCTTTGTTTGTTGACAGCAACATGCAGGACAAGGATGACTTTAACATGGGAAACAAGCACAAAAATGGACAATGTGCAACAGAAATGAATCTTACTAAACTAGATTTGGTCCTGATTGTACAAAAAGATGCATGTAGCCGTTGACAGGGCCATGTGGTGCCTCTAGGTTTACGTCAGAGCTGTGCGCTCTCGTGTGTATACAAGCTGTTAAAATTGTTTAGGCAAAGCTGATCTGTAGCTCCATCCCTGATCAGCAGGGCTGAACAAAAACGATAACTGACAATAGTTAGATTCTGTCTTTTTGTCTCAATCAAAGGCTCTGTTACCAAACAAATATGCACTGGAAACAAACAACAGCTCATACCAATGCCAGTTTTGGGAACATACTTTAGTATTATGTTATTTCCTAGCTCTAAGGAGACGAGACATTTCTTGGAGACACAATGTTTGAGGCTGACAGGAGATGGAGGGCGGGAGTGGGGGTGACATGAGCTGGAAAGAGGAAACAAAAAAGCAACTGTGATTGTTGGCGTGTCCGCCAGTGTTCCCCATCTTTGCTCTGACACACTTTTCCGTGTCGTGGGCGCAGCGTTACACTTGTCAGTGTATTTGTTCAAGCAACTCGACCGTTGGTTCCTGTGAGCGCCGTGCACCGCCTCTCTTTTTTAAAAAGCTGTGGCTCTTGCTTGAATGCTCTCTGTGTCCATGCCCAGTGCTCTAATCCAGGACCTGCTCTTCCTCTAAGCAGGGAGTTAACTTAATCCCTCTCATTTAGGCAGCTGCACTGCCGGGAAACTATGGCAAAAAAAGTCTGTGACAGACACATTCAGCTGTTGTGACGGCACCAATTCAGCTGCTTTAACATGCAAGTCTCACTTTGGTATTTTAATGCGACTGTGAATAATGCATAGAGGCTGGTGAGCATGGAAAGCATAGAGGAAGGTATGCGTGGCTGGGACGATAGCTGTGAAACACTGACTGGCATGTATGTGCAGGAAATATGCTGTGAATATAAAGGGCTATTCCCAAAGATGCAACAGACAGAGTGGTGGAGAATTTAACTGAAAGACATCCATTGTGATGAGTGATGACCAAAATTAAAGCGACTGATGTTTTTAATCAAAGGACTGCACTATTGCTCAGTGGATGAAAAAAAAAAGCTGCATTCAAAGTGACTTTGTTGATGGCTCAGGTTAGAGCCTGGTCTTTGTCTCATACCACAAAACATTTAATTGATTGATTGATTTCTAGCCCATTTCTGATTAAGGGTTATTGATTACAGTAACATTTGTGGGCCTTAAAGCTAATGATACATGCGCTTGAGTCTTTGCAGGACTCATTCTCACAAAGCGAAGCAGTGTAGCCTTTTGTCTTTCCTATCAAACAGCTTCACACCTCTGCACTTCACTGCGCTCATTAAAAAAGCCAGCGGAGGTCAGAAAACACAATTTACAATTCCTGCAAACATCTGAGGTACTTATGCATGAAATTCCAAATTGCGCAAAATACATTAGAAGGCGCCAATACTGGTCAGCATAACTACTGTAGCTGCTTCTTTTATCCTTCGCCCACATCTGGCACTTCCTGCCTGCTGAAGAACATTTGTAATGGACCTGGATTAGAGTGCAGGACAGATACAGTAATAAGCCCTGGAACCTTGTCAAGAGAGAGGTCAAATCAGAAGATAATAAATAGGAAATTGCTCCCTGCGAGCCTCCTCACTGTCAGCCTCTGCTTGTTACCTTGAGCACTAAAAAGGTATTTATCCAACTCCCTACCCACTGTTTAAACAGACGTCAGCGCTGCTCTGGGGGCTTAATTGCGTTTGCTCTCAGGAGTTCACTTGGTGAAGTGCAGGTGCAGCGTCCAAGAAAAATAATTGAACAAACAATTATAATGTGCGTTCCCACACTGCCCATTAAAAACAGAGCAGCTACAGGCTTTTGTGACGTTTAGCTTCCTTACAGTGCAAAATATATCATTGTAGGAGTGTTGAAATGCTGCAAAGACCCATGGTGGACTTGTGGCAGCACCGTCCCTCTGCCCTGGGAAACAACATCTGTGCAAAAGTGAGACTCCCACAGCCTCTCCTGGTGTCTTTCTGTCCAGAAAAACAAAGGCAGAGTTTCTGCCTACCATAGCTCGCTCACCGGAGATCAACACATCTCTGGCCTCAACACCTTGGCAGTGGAAAAGATCCTGAACCCAAACACAGCAGCAACCTTCAAGGTGCGTGTTACTCCTCAGAGCTCTGTGTTTCCAGCTCATCCTATTGTTCCTCACATGAGAATGTTTTGCTACTTGTGATTTTTACAGGGCAGCGTCAGGGGAAAAGAGCAGGTGGAAAGTGGCTCTCATGTCCCAAATGTAACACGAATTCACCTCTGTACCGGGACTATTTGGGCATCCACATGCCCACCTTTTTAAAACTACCTGAGGCCTTTAAAGTAGCATTTCGTTTCCAAATGGTTAACTTTTTCTCAAGAAACTTGCCTGCTTCTTGTAAAATCATGCAGCAATTAAACTTTAAAACTACTTGTGGATTTCTTTCCATTTTACAAACTTGTTTGCAGGCAAGAAAAAGTGAAAACAAAAAGATACAGCTCTCTGGAGGCCTTAACTTATGAAACAGCAAACATTTCAAACGGCACATTTTTTAGTTTTTTTGCCACGTTTTGAGCAAGGAACACCAGGTTACGTGTTCACACTGTTTTGGAAGCAAAACCCTTCAAAAGAATCTTCGAGTTTGCACTTGCTCGATCAATCTGATTTCTCCTCCACCGGCCTCCCAGAGGAATTCTTCTTCCATGCAGGAGGACTTCAGTTATGGCTGTTTCACATTTTCAGTTCTCCGTCTTCCTCTCCTCCTCTCTTTCCCCTTTCGCCATTCTTCCAGAGATGCGTAGTTGTTGGCAGTGCTTATGTAATAACAGATGGAAGCTAGAAATTAACACGTCTTGCCTCTCTCGTTATTCTCCTCTCTCCATTTATTTTTAATGCTGTGTGCATGAGCGTCTCTCTCGTTCTCTCTCTCCGTCTCTCGCCGTGTGTGTGTGTGTTTTTATGTGTGTGTGACCCCGGCAGGCCAGCAGCACCTGTCAGGAGTGTATCCACCGTGGTTGCGTGCCTAATTAGCACACAAGGAATTTGGTGGCATGAAGAACGCAGCATCGGTGGGAAGAAAAGAGTGTGGGGTGCAATTAGGATTTGTTGGCATGTACAGAACACAGTGAAGAATCAAATGAGGAGGAGGAGGAGGAAGACGAGGAGAGGTTGGGGTGTGTTGGTGTGGGAGGGTTGCATGTGTGGCCTGATACTACTCTACTTTCTGCCACACTTAGAGATGAGAGAGAAGCATCTGAATGTTGAAAACATGCCAGGCTGTCTTCAAATCGACTCCCAGTTTGAATGTTAGATGTGAGACATCAGAACCTCATCTCCTGAAATTTCACATTTAGTGAAATTCCAATAACTTGCCTGCAGATGAACCTGTGGCAAAAACCTGAAGCGAACCAACTGTTTTAGCTGCTAAACTGAACTGACAGCTGAAATCAAAAACTCAAGTTCAGTGATCATATCAGAATATAATTTATGATTTCTGTACAAGAAAAAAATCCATTTAAAGGCATGTTTGTCATGATTAGCTATTCTAACACATGCATGTTTTACTGCCTTCTCTGTGGGATTAGAGAAGAAAGAGCCATACATTTTGGAGGAAGAAAATGAGGGACAGGTTACTGCTGCAGGGCGTGAGGTTGAACCACGATGGCCGTTTTTGCCTAAAGTTGACAATAAAATATCAGAGCCTGGTCGGTAGCCCGCTTCACTGCGTGCTGTTATTTGGTGGTGACTGTGGAAATACTGGAGACAGAGACTTGATTTATATCCTAACAGGGAAGCTTACTGGGTCACATTTCATTCCAGGTTTAGTTAAAGAACACCACTGTGATCATCTTTCTACTTCATACTGATTCAACAACACTGTAAGAAGTGGGTAAAAATACACTGAAGTTCAGCTAAAGCTAATATGAGGATTCAGTGTGGAGTTAAATCAAGTGGGCATCTTTGTTCTGCGTGGATGTACTGTCCCAGCAACAAAACTTTATGCTCTGGAAGAAGAATTTAAAATTATTTAAGTAAAAGCTCCAGTATGACAATGTGAAATTATCCCATTCAAACTGCTACTGAAGCAAAAGTACGATCAGCTACATATACTCCAAGCATCAAATGTACTTCAAGTATTTCTAGATGTAGAAAAATGCCCTCTGTGACACTGTGATATTTTATATGGCATTATTAGATTATTAAGATGGATGCATCCACAGCACTTCAGCTGTAGCTGCTCAAGGTGGAGCTGGTTTTAATATACAGTCAGCTTGTTTAATCCAATCCACCCAAAGGGTCACAAGCACAAGATCAGTCTGAGGGGTCAGGAAATGATTGGTTGGTTTAGCAGCACGCAGTACTGTAATTTATAAGCTTATGATTCTTTTTCTGAAAGTAATTATTGTTTTAAAAGGAAGTAGAAGTAGCATAAAATGTAAATACTTATGTTCATCCTATGTGCAACACCCACTTGATTTGATAAACTCAGATAAAGTTAAACCGGGGCTCTCTCATTAGTCCGTTTGGGGGTTCAGAGGCCACATGACAGACCGGTTACACTCGCATCCCGGTGACCTGTTTTAGTTAAAAAACTGTGAATTATTTTAATTTGTTGGCGGCTTTACAAGGAATAAAAAAATGCAGCACATACAGACTCATGCCAAGTTCAAGTTAATTAGTGCAAAAGTATCATATAGGCTATGGAGTTATGTTGTTATCATTTAGCTTGTTTTGCTGAACACCTCCTCGTGGAGCCAGGCACTGGAAACCTTTGCTTTAAGAGCAGGGTCTAACTGCAGTTCACGTCTCTCCAAGTGCTCCACTGTGGTGTTTTGGTTTAAATACTTATGCATTTGGCTACTCATGATCCCACGATTACTCTTCATCAGCCCACCAAGCTCTGGATTACAGCATAATATGCAGACATACTCGAAATTTTCCTCAAAATTCATAGGTGTTATTTTGTAGTTCATGCTCAATTCCAAAAGTTGCAACAGACTTTGGTCATTACAGCGTAGAAATGGGAACATCTGGAGGAAGAGGAACAAGAGATGGAAGGCAGCTTAAGGAAGGAAGGCAGCTGCTGAAAGCGACTGTGATGAGGTTCAACTTGGTGTCCGTCACATGATTTATTTATCAACCCGACAGCCAATTTCATGGTTAGACTGGGGCGTTAAAAAAGAGTAAAGGGAGCTACAGGAAGTAGATGTGACCTCAGTTTGACGAGAAAAAAACAAAAAGACCACGATAGCGTGTGCCCACAACACTGAAAGGGAACAAATGGCTCTTAGATATTTCCATTCATACCAAAAGAAAATAAATCTAGAGAACTGAGATGAATAAAACAAAAATTGTAACAAAAAAGGGCTGCGGCGGCGACGGCTTTGTGAGCCCCAGAATAAATACCCATCATGTCTACAGACGTCAGCTCTTTATCTAATGGGTGTGGTGGCTGTAAAACATCCATGTGGCCCTCACTTTAATAATTGAACAGACATCGGGGCAGCACCTGCTGGGAGCCCAAATCATCGCCGCAGCTTTGAACAAACCGCTGTGACCTTACAGCATCAGGCAACACAGCGCTGAAAACAGACAGAGGGGAAGAGGAACAGGGAAAAAAGGATGCATTGGAGGCAGTGAACGTGGCCTGGGGCTACAGAGTAATGAGCATATCTCCACGGAGGCTGCCACAGATTCACTATTTGAAAATTGTTTCTTGTCTTAATAAATCCTAAATGTGTAATTAACTTGTGAAAGAGGAACAACAAAGCAGCTGATGTTCCCCTCTCCCGCTCTTTTCCTCTGCAAATCACACCGATCGAGGTGAGTTGACGTTTCCTCAGGTGGAGATATGGCACCCTCTGCTCTCCCTCCCCCCTCTTCTCTCTCCCCAAACTGCTGTCATTGATATTCTTAGTCTGCCTTTGCAGGAATTATAAAACCTTCTGAATCAATTACAACATCAGTCGGGCTGAAATCTGCCGCCGATGAATATGTATAGAAGTACACACACGTCCGGCTAATTAAACAAGGCCGTTAGAAATCACTTCAGACAGGTCGGACTAATGCACGGCGAGCACACATCAACCAGCAGGAAGCTCAGGCTGGGAGACGGCTGATGCAGCAACTGAATACTGAATACAAGGACGTTCAGTCTACTCACAACAAGTTTTAACAGTTTTCACAGAAATTAAGTGCAAGATGCTTTTTGTCGTCTTAGTTGTGGATTTATGTTTTAAAAAACCGGGCTCAATTTCTGATGCTCCATTTCCTGTTTGCCTTTAGGGTCTTGGCTGATCATTACAGGGAAACAGGACTTTACAGCATTTTATTCAAGATGGGGTGAATTTTTCTATTTTTGAATTGAAAAAGAATTAAAGTTCAAGATGCTGTGATTGATACATCACAACACTCAGTTTGAGAACAGTGCTGTCAGCCAGGCTGGATTACCAGCCTTCAAAGTGGGCAACTGCACGAGGCCCCAGACCCCCAGAGGCCACAAAAAGCTCCAGGTTCATGCTGCACCACTTGGTTTCAATAATTCTATTCACAGTAAATGTGTCAAGGCATTTGAATGCCTGGAGAACAGCATTAATAGTGTCACGTTTGACACTATCATGATGATTTAGCCATAATGGTTTTGAGAATACTTCGTTCACCAACGGCCCCTATGACTTTTCTTCTTTGATTGTTTTTTTCCTTTTTGCACTCGGTGCTTGTTCATTAACGTGAATGTCAGCTCCACTGTCTCAAGCCTAAGGGTGCTAAAGCACAGAGATCTCTTTAGTTCCCCCATTAGGAAGTTTGTGGAGTGAAAATTAAGCTCCTTTATGCCGATGTGCTTGCACAGTTGTACGAGCTGAGACTTTGCCAGAAAGAAACTCAGCAACAGTAAACAGACCATCTACAGCGAACTGTCACTGAACAGTGGCACAGACATACCCGACACTGATCAGTGATTCATCTGCTTGTTCTTTAACTGCATTTTTTATATGACCTTAAACCTCTTTGCAAAACATTTCTGCTGGATCTCTGCTGTTCTACTTACTGTACAGGCCAGGCCAGTGTTGCTCACCTGTCGCTCTTCTTACCTGCACACAAGAAGAGAAATTACAATGAGACACCAGGGTTGTCTATTTACAAGCATCCAGCTACATGCGTTAGGATATGCAGTACAGCATTTACCTTGAACACAGTGTTTCCCTCTGTGAAATTGGACTTGGTTTGTCTGACACTGGACTTTTTTTTAAATATGGACCTCACTCAGGTCACTCCTTCCATTCAGTAGTTACCTAATTCTATCTATTTCCTGTCTGCATAACACTGATAAATGCTGGTTCATGTCCATCACATGTCCACCACAAACACAGGCCAGGTCACTGATTCAAACTGGAATCAGACTGGTCCATAGCTTGTCAGATTCCTTTGAGTTGTCTCCGCTGCACATGAAGGGGAGTCAATAAAGAAGAAGCAAAGTAAAACAACCCAGTCAAATAAATATTCTATCATTAGCTAATTAAATTGTTGACGTTTTGCAAACGTGATACACCTAATGTTACAGACTACAATGAAACACCAGCTGAGCAAGTTAAACAAATCAAAACTATTTTCTTATAAACAGGGGCCTCGTGTACTGTAATCTTTTTCTCCTGCTGGATAAAAACAACAGCTAAATGCCTGAAAATGTACACATTTCCTCAGAACAAAGTCACATCAGATAAAATTCTTCTCACTTTAATTCTCCCCCTCTACATTTCATTTGACACAAAGATGCTGGGGCATCTCGACAGAGGAGGAGTTTCATGAATTAAATTTTTTATTTTAGTGTTGTGCTTCTCGGCCGGTTGTCCCCGGGTTGTTGCTGTCTCTGCCCATGTTTTCTGTTCTGAGATGTGCAGCTCACAGAGCTGAGGGAGGGAAAGGGGGAAGAAGAACGCAGAAGCCCCTGGGGCTGCAGGCCTCTCTGGACCCCAACCCCGGGTCACTGAGCACCTCAGGTCAGCCTGCTTGTGGGGGAAACTGCCTGGCTGCTGGATGGAAGAGATGGGGGCTGAGAAGGCTCCCCCAATGTCTTGTGTAATCAACATTTACAGAACAGCTGGAAGGAAGAGGAGGAGTGTGTTTGTTGTCTACATGTGTGTTTTTTCAGGTTCACAAATATCTGATCTGTCGTCTGTGTGTGTGTGTGCACAGAAATGAGTACTACAGCGTAACAAGTACAGATAGGAGCTTGTGAACTACTACATTGTGTGTGTGTGTGTGTGTGGTCGGTATGTATCCCCTGCTGGCCCTCAACGCTCAGAGCAGGTTCAGTGTCGGGGTCTTTGCCCGCAAATAAAGCTGCTCCTCTGGGTACCACCGTGCTCGTCTTTGGGTGATGCTGTCAGAGCAAGGAATTTCAGATTTGCAGAGCAAGAAACACAGGAGACGGACGGCGATGTTTACAGATTCAAAGTATCAAGAAGCAACTGAGAAGATAGAATTATCTCATTAAATATCAAGACAGACTTTTAAAAACTGCCTTTTCACCAAGCAGAAGCAGGGCTACTGTGTCTCGATGTTTTTCATCCCATGCACCATGTAGTGCACACTCTGCTTCATGAACTCCCTGAAGTTAATGCCTCCAATTTCAGTTTTTGCAAGGGGATATAATGCTGAGGTCCTTATTAATGTTAGGCTAGACTGAGAAACATAAGCAGTATTTAAGGCTTCACTCTGAGTGAAGTTCAGCATACAGTATGGAGCTAAAGTGGCTTCTGCATTTCATAGTGAAGCAGCTTGTGGCTATAATGACTGAAGAAAATTTGCACAAATAAAAAAATAACCTCAAAATTTGTAGTTTATATTAGGGCTGAACAATGCCCAAAGATTTTTAGATAGACTGTCCTACTTTCATGGCAGCCACCAATTCCTTTTCATTGTTAGGCCACAGTACACTATGGAAACAAATAAGTGGACTTGTTAAACTTTCTTGTTGTGTATAACCGATTAGTGTAGTTCCATTAATGTTTACAGTTTTAATCCAGACTGTTTTAAAAGTCTTCTAATAGATTTTGATATCATACAGAAATATATTCAGATATCAAAAACAAAGCAGCTTGGTTTGCAAAACAGTGAGCAGTCAAAGTGTTGGTCTGATCTAAAACCAGATATATAGAGATCTCAGTGTGTATTTGAGGATAATTAGACCCAATATAAAAGGAAGGCAGACCCAAACGGAGAGCGAGCTGGCACCTACACCATGATCCGCCAATTATCAAGCAGCACTTCACACACCACCTGACAGAGTGAGGACTAACAGGTATTCAACAGACTAACAAACAGACCTGAGACCTGAGGCAGGAGGAATGGACCCAGCAGACCTGATTACACAAATATGATACCAGATACCAGATACCTACAGTCCTTTCACACAGGGAGCAGGTTGCATGAAATGTTAGAATAAGCTACTGGTTCATGTGCTCTTTCTCTCCTCAAAACAAAACTGAAGAAAGGAGCCAGTTAACATTTTGCCATATGCATTGTTTGTTTTGGATCTATAAATACTGTAATCGCCTCGGGTACAGTGCTAATGCAACAGATAGCTCTGTGTCGCACAACATTTGAATCGACCATCTGACTAATTACAACAGCGCACGATCAAATCAGGCTGCAGAGAACCTGTGAAGACCCCGAGTGTGGCCTTCCGGTCAGGAAGAGGAAGCAGCCTCATTGTTGCTGCCAGAAATAATAATTTCAATAATTTTCTATAATTTCCACCATCTAAACAGAGCAAACCAAGTCAGGAAACAAAGCAGGGGCCCGCCAAGCTCCGCCTCCACCTCCCCCAGAAAATACACACACACAGGACTATGAGAGCCTCCCCACGGAAAACGGCTGCCATCTAAAAACAGCTTCTGCAGCTGGCGGCCGCAGCGAGAGGCGTGCTTCCAGCGCTCGCACCCACAGTCGCAGTTTACTCCCGCTAAATGTATGGAATCAGGCTCTCGCTAAAAACTACAATTACAGGTGATATACAGATTGAAATCATAGGGGCTGCTTTTTTTGTTGAGGAAAATTGTCCTAATGAGTGGTTTGGCGATTCATGGGGTAGAAGGGAGGGAAGGGTTGGTGCTGGTGTCTGTGGAGACTGTGAAAGTCTTTTCTCTTTGTGCATGTGTGTGTGTGTGTGTGTGTGCGTGCATGTGTGTGCTTTCCTACCACTGCCACAGTTAATGATATCGGATGATATCATTAGGCAAAGTGCTCATAAACAGATGTTGGAGGCGCTGCCTAAACAGTGTCAGCTGAGCCGGTTTGCATTTCTGCGAACGTATTATTTATATAGGACATTTAAGTTTGCTATGTTAATAACCCCTCTGTTAGCATGCTGGATGCGGCGCAGGGAGAATACAGAAATGACACTGGTGAGGGGGAAGAGCAGCAGAGTTAAAGTGCACCCCAGGAGCTCAATAGGTGTGAAGAGCTCACAGCTCAGATGAGACTGAAGACAAGAGCAGCACAGCTGAGCTGAAAAGATCCACCTGACTGGTCCGATTTCAAATGAAGACAACCAGATGCTTTTAGAAAACTTTGGCTTGACATGACAACCATCTTATTTTCACACAAATGTTAGGACAGATGGAAGTTTTATCTGAGGTTTACAGTAAGCTGGGGTTCATTTCGTAAGTTAAAGGTGCCAAGACTCACTGGTCATGTTTGTTTTAAATTAAAAGGAACACAGTATTAATAACGCATTCATATAGATACACTGCACTCATATTTAACATCAATAATGATACAGTATACTCCCATTTTATTGTGTACTTATAAATATGATTATCATTAAGGCTTAGCTTTATCCAGTACTGTAGAGCATTGTACAGCAGAATCTAACTTATGCATTCTTTTACTAAGCATCTGTACAAGGCTTTACAATACACATACGGTTTATCTTAGACTCAGTAAGATGCAGCTACAACACTAAAATTTATCTTCTGTTACTTTAACTGTCTGAAGTATTTTCCTAAAAAGTCCATAGAGTCATTTTCAAGACATGAATAGTGAATTAATTATGTGAGACTCATTCAGAACGACTATACGTCTGCAGGAGCTCTAAACCCTTCAGAGAATATACACACATTAAGAACAAGAAGATAATAAACTAAGGGGAGAGCAGGAGGAGAGGAGCTCCCCTCCAATACAATACAAAACTTACTGAAACAGGATGATTGGTGGCACCTCAGGGGGCTTCATGGAGACAGACAGGCTGGGTATGTGGAGCTGCTGCAGCCACAGACGGCATCAACTGGCTCTGTAATGACATGACAAGATGACATGTTGTTTGATCAGGGCATCAGTTTGCATTAGGGTGTTGCTCTGGGGGGCTACAGCCCCTAACCCCAGCAGGGTACATGCATCATCTCTGCAGAGGTATATGAAACCCAATGTGACAGTATTATTTCACTGGGGTGGTGTTGCTACTTTTACTTCAAGAACCAAAGTACTCCTTCCAACACTGTCACTTAGGGTGGTATCAGCCTGTCAAATCTACTCAGCTGCAGGATCTTTAAAACTTTATCCAAGCAAACTGCATGAAACTGTGTAACCTGGCCTCCAGCCCCTCCCCACCCACAGACAGTTCTCTAGTTCAGAGCAAAAATCAGCACACCGAGGTGAAGGGCCGGGTTTTCTTAAGGCACTCTGCTTAAATTGTCTCCTTCCACTGTTTTACACAAAAACTGCATTTTCATTTCTCCACTTCCAACAGACACCCAAGTACACAGCTGACCACAGGTGCTGCTCATTCCTGTCACCTTTAAAACCCTCTTCAATTCACTTCAGCAAGTTCCTGGTTTGTCCTTAAGTTTAGGTAACTTTATGTTTGAAGTTCACCCAAGCTGCAAAAAGAAAACTCCTCCAGATATTCACTGAAATAATTCCACAGAAGCAGCAGTGGAAAATGACAACACATTTGATTAAAATCTAACCTGAGATAAGCCAGGCCCAAACACTTGACCTACCACTTCCTGCTTCTTCTTCCTCTGTTTATTTTGATTAGCAAATGGCAGCCAGGGGTAATGTCTGATGTGCACTACTGCTGCCTGCTGCTCCGGAGTGTGAACCAGAGAATAAATCTAATCTACCTGTCCAGGTAGATTACTGTGCTGGATTCTGGTCTTTGTAGCTGTAACCTCCTCACATTCAAAGCCACAGTTAGCTCTGTTTACCGAAAGGCTTTTAATAGGAAGTAGTGAGTTTGGAAACATAATATTCTTTTAAGGTTGAGAAAAACTACAAGTGGTTTGGAAAATAAACAGAGGAAAGTGGCTGGTTTTAACATCAGAAAAAAAGTATTTAATGATTGTAATGTGATGCATTTTGAAAAGGCTCTGACTGCACCTTTTATTGTGCTTTTGCCTAAATGGAACACATCTAGGCTCCTGCTGTTTTTGGCTGGGTTTTCTTCTGTCTTCCACCTGCAGGACTGATGTAAGCTTACATAGCAAAAGTTTGGTTTTTTGCAGCAAAATTTAAATATGATGAATGACAAAAGAGTCTCAGTGAGGTGCTGGGCCTCCATGTGCCACCAGAACAGCTTCACCTTGACTCTCCAAGTCTCTGAACCCTCCTGGAGGAATGAACATTGTTCCTCCAACAGATGTTCCCTCATGTGGTGTTTTAATGATGGTGGTGGAGACGCTGTCTAACACGTCGCTCCAACATCTCCCATAGCTGTTCACCTGGGCTGAGACCTGGTGGCTGTGAAGGCCACAGCATCTGATTCACATCATGGTCATCCTCATCAGACCAGTCAGTGACGCCTCGTGTCCTGTGGACCCTGGAGGAGACCACTCATTTATTCAGGTTCTTCCTTCCATTTGTCTCCAGCCTGCACACAACAGGCTCAGCCCACTTTGGAGGAGGAGAGCATCAGGCCTCACTTTTAAACAGCACTCGTACACGTGTTAACAGATTTATGTAAAAGGTTAACGTCCTTGTGTTATTCTGCTCAGGCACTGCCATTTTACCCCCTCCTCAGCCCCCTCCCCACCTCCCTGGCTGAAAAAAGGGGGAACAGGCTCCCATTTCCCTGCCACCATTATGCTCATTTGTCCTGTCAAGAGAATGACAGGCCGGTTGACTCTTCCCCAGATACGACCATTAGGTAACGCTCTGTCATCTGACAGCAAGGCATTCTGCTGCTCCCTAAAAACCCCCTAATTATTTCCTTCGCCAGAGACAGGCGGCGGCGGGTAGGTAATTTTTAACCTTTCACGTGCACCTGGGGAACCCTCCTCCGGGGAGCCAAGGTGCCTGTGTGGCATTCAGTCATCAAAACATGACCTTTTATGGCCGTTCGGAGAGCAGTTGGCACCGGGTGCCACGCACTGGCTAATGCTAATGTTGATGACTAATTTATGCATCAGTCGACCGCATCTGCAGCAAGTTTAGTGTAGCAACAATGTGTGACAGAGGAAGAGGAGGGGGGCATCACTGCAGAGCAAGCAGAGGTGAAAGGCATTTTGGGGAAGGGGTGGGGTTTTGAGACACCCAGTAGCCAGGCACAACAGGGAATTGAGGGGGCTAATTATGTTGCAGGGAATACATTCGACGTGACCAGCGAGCCTTTTTAGAATTTGTCGAGCGCAATCTGACTAACGTGGCTGACCTTTACTTTTTTTAGCTCAAATTGCGGGAGACCAGAGAGCATGCAAGATGTGTGCATATTCTGTGACCTAATTGCCTTTTTACTTGTGAGGCTAAATGCTGGACAGCACCTCCTCTCACCCTCGTCTACAAAAAAAAAAAGGATGTCAAAAATCACAGCAGACACAACAGCACATTTAAAGTATGTTTACATCCCCAGACGTTACCAGTCCCCTGTGGGCGGAGGTGTTTTCAGCCACTTGCCTTGTTAAATGAGGATTAACAGCACTGCCTTTGTTGGAAACCAGCTTGCAGAATACTACTACTACTTCACACCTTCTGAGCCATTCTTCACTTCTTCAATTCAGTGATGACCTCTGACCCCGTGTGCCCTTATACCCATTTTCTTTCTCTCACATCTGTACAATAAATACAAGGCCAAAGCCAGTTAGTGTCTTTACACTTTAGAGATGGTGTCGTCTGTGCTAAGCTAACAATCTGTAGCTACATAGCTAGTGAACAGAAATGATAGTAATCAATCTTTTTATCTTAATCTTATCTTTCTATATTAACGTCGATCAAAACATTTAACCTTAGCTTTAATAAATCATTAACAAGCCATTTCAAGCCCTTTGTAACAGACAGGCAATGACATAAATGTGTTTAACTCTTATTCACTGTGTGCAGAAATAAAGATATTTATGCTGGGCAATTATTCTGTTGTGCAATTGTGGCACTATTGTTTTTGATTAAAACAAGAATTATGCAAAAGCAAACTACCTGTTTTTCCTCTTTTGTCCATGTCAACAGCAGGAAATATGGATGGGCACTGAGAGCCAAACAACTGTCCGCCTGGGGTTGACAGAGACATTTATGTAGCAGCATAAAATAAAAAAAACATGGCCTCAGGCTTTAGAGTTAGCTGACAAAAACTATGTTTATAATCTTCCCCAAATTCCTGCTAGGCCATAAATTGTTAATATCACAAGTGTTTCAGGGAGCAGACAAATTGAGGTGTTTGGGTCAAGAAGAGACGAATTTCATGCAGAAAACAAGAATCAAGCTAATTGGATCAAAAGTAAATGATGGTGTTATTCTGCTTTGAATCAGGCCATGTGCGCATTTGCAAACACATCGCCCTCCTCTGCTCTCTGCTTTTGTATATTCATTGTCAGCCAAAGGAAGAAAGAAAAATGCTGATGAACTCTTTGTTTAGACAAATCATGAAATTACCAGTTGTGATTCTCAAGTTCAGGGGAAAGGTCATCACCAAGTGTTTCCCTTGGAGCAATGTAGTGCAATAAAACACAAGTAAACACAAAGCAAGACGGATTCAAGCCGCCGTGCGTTCACACAGCCATTAGTGATTGATACTCTGTTTCTAATCCCTGGCTCAGGCCGCCCTGCTGCCATTAAGCTTCGAAATTACATGTTCTATCACAAGCAGCTGCTCTCACCTGAGTATTGGATTACTGAAATAAAATATGAATAATTAATACTGAGAAATAGGTTCCTGGCAACAGGAACACCGTAGCTGCTATTTAATGATGAGTATTATGTTTCTTCTGTTTTTTCCTACTTTCTTTCTCCTCCTCCTCCGGTGTCGTTCGATCTTCTTGAGTATCTCTACCAGGGGAGTCAGTGAACCCTCTTCTTCGTTGGTTCTTCCTTGGCCGGGCTGACTCCCCTGGCCACTGGGGTGAGAGACCTGTCTTTCGCTTGTGTTCTTTAGCCTACCTCCTCCTCTTCATCTAGTTTTATCTTGAATAAGCTGCCATTAAATTGGAAAATACCCACCTAGGGGTGATCAGACGGCCACAAACCCTTGTCATCTGTCTCCCAGAGCTGCCAGGCAAAAGAGAGCAAGGGAAGGAAGGAGAAGCAGAGATGATGATAGCCAGGATTTCTTATTCTTCTGCTTTCATGGCCTGGTTTTCTATCAGAGGTGAGAGGGACAAAGAGAAAAGAAGAACAGGCTGGTTTTCACTCTGCCAGACAACCAAAGGCAATCGGTCAAAAATTCCATGCATCCATATTTATTTAATGTGCTGAGAGAATGCATAAAGAGGAGAGGAAGGAAGGGAAGGAGACAGACAAAGAAAAAACTTTGCTACATATGGAGTGCTTCTTACAACTAATCAGCAGACTGTTGGTGATTGGGGCCGCGGGCGCCAGGTTGGCTCGAGCCAGAGTTAGCACAGTGCCCAGGTCTTTGCTGCAGGCTGCACAGGTTGGCCTCAACTCTGCTGGGGAGCAGATGGCGAGCCAAAGCTTGTAGTCACACTTACCTTCCCCACTAAATCCCTAATCCCTCCGTGGATGCTCCTCCAAGGCAGGTTTTTGGAGGCAGAAATAGGGGTTACAATCTGGACCAGCGCAGTGCCTGCCAAAACACTCACAACACAGAAATGCAAATTAACTTATTTGTGTTGACCGCCAGCCAAGGCACTGCTTCTTTTGCAAGTAATTAAGATACCTTGAAAAATATTTGTAAAAGATCAATAATTTGAAATGGACAAATAACAATGCAGATAACGAGAGAATGGAAGACTAAGCAAAGGGTGTGAAGACCGCGGAAGGGTTTTTAAATTTCTGTTTGTAACACCCACCCCTCCTCTCCATCTGCACACACCAATCAACCCTATCACTCCCTCTTTCACCTACAGATACGAATAACTAGTCCCTTAGGTGTTGGCAACGTCCATCTTTGTGAGGTGTTTGATTGCTTCTAATAACCCAGCCATTACAGCCACTGAACCAGACTGGAAACTGGATGTTGAACACAAAGCATTTGTGTTGAACATTCCTTTAAAGCTGGCAGCTTGAGGACGCACAAAAAACAGAAAAAGAAGAAGAAAAAAGCAAGCGCCCCCTGAATCAGTAACTGTTAGAGGAGGCGTAGGAGCCTCGATGACACCTTTCAGCTGTGCTTGTTGGCTGGTGCTTAAGCTACACGCTAACACACACACACACACACACACACACACACACTGTTATTAGCCTGGTGTCAGCAGCACTAAATGGGCTGCAGATGTTAATGCACTGTTTTAGATACAGTGGCAGGAAAGAGAGGCAGAGACGGACCCATTGAGACACAGAATAACTAAATACAGAGAGAGAAACACATTCATTAGTGAAGAAGGCACAGTGGATAATAATTCAGAGGTGATGCATTATAAACAGTACTGTTTAAACAAAGTGGGCATGTTTAAAATCTTAGAACCAGACAGTGTGTAAGTTTTACTTGCTGTCTCAGAGTTTATTAGTTTGAGATTCTGTGTTTAAACCTTCAGTCAGCGGAGGTTGTTTCTGTAGTTTAGAACGGGGCATAAGAAATTTTGTGCAGCTTATCTCAAAGATTCATTTATTCCAGTGACATAAAGTGTCACTGGAATAAATGGAGTGTAATATTTTGACATAGTTCTAATGCTCTTTCTTCTATTGCTATTATCATTTTGAGATGTTTTATGTTTACAGTATATTCAGGAATGTCCAGGACATCACAGGTGAAAAACATCCCTCTCCATGTATTTTATGCTAACTATACTATAAAGGTAGGTTGGTGATTCATTTCAGAAGCATTATTTGTTACTTTTCTTGAAATTCTCATCTCAATGGCAGCAAATCTTTAAACTCACTAACATAAAGTAAAAACCTACCATCTGTGGCAGCAGCAGGTCTGAAAAGAGCCTGACCAATAACTTTAAATAAACCATTGGATGGCCTACCCGCCCCTCTTTCCTACTTGTGCACACACTGCCTGTGCACTCACTGTGTGAGCTAAGGGTCTCCCACAAGGCCAGGCAGGCAGACATGTTACCACTCTATTTATATAGCTAAAGCTATTGAGCTACAGCAGAGAAGGTGCCCACAGCAGCTTTTGGTCACAAACAAATACGAGAAAAAGAAGCTGGATGCTGCAAGAAGTAAAACCAGAATTAACATCAGTGTGACTTTTGGCCGACAGCGACAACTGAGAGAACAAAAAGGCTGAAAAGTGATGCCACGGTGGCCGTTGTTCTGCTGGACAGGTGATTAGCTGTTTTGTTTAGTTTGGGAGGCATCTGTTATTTTCCTGAAATCCGTTGCAGTGTGTTGTCTTTTGGAGGAGGGGCTTTGGAGAGAAGTCAGAACTAAAGAGTGGGATTTCTTCAGTTGGCTACTTTCAAAATCAAGCCCCCTCTTGCTGGTTTTTCCACGATGGCCAACCCTGCCTTTAAGCCTACATATTTTGGTCATTTCATTTGGAGTGCAGTTTTGAGTATTGCATATCAAGTAACAGTGACAAATGAGAGGAAAAACCTGAATGAATAAGTGGAGAACATTACAAATGCAGGTGCTGACATAGGGTCACTGCAAATCATCACAAAGTTGTTCTGAGTGATCATTTTTACCTGTGATGAAACATTTCTGTCCTGATGGGAGCGGTCTGCTCCAGGGTCCACAGGACACGAGGCGTCACTGACTGGTCTGATGAGGATGACATGATGTGAATCAGATGCTGTGGCCTTCACAGTCACCAGGTCCAGGTGAACAGCTATGGGAGATGTTGGAGCGACGTGTTAGACAGCGTCTCCACCACCATCATTAAAACACCACACGAGGGAACATTTGTTGGAGGAACGATGTTCATCCCTCCAGGAGGGTTCAGAGACTTGGAGAGTCAAGGTGAAGCTGTTCTGGTGGCACATGGAGGCCCAGCACCTCACTGAGACTCTTTATGCTGGGTCGTCCTCTCACTTGTCACCTGTCTGTACTTAGGTAGACAAGACAGTATTCTAATTAATCTTAATAACTGTTCATAGCTCCTCTTCCTGGTAAACCCCTGCCAGCATGCTAATAGCCTGGGACCTACCCTTCTGAAGTAGGAACTGTACTTTATCTTTAAAATCTGGGTAAGCATATATTTACTACTTTGACAAAACTACTCAAAAATCAAAAAATCTGCCTCTTTTGTGCTGCTGTCACATGCCCCTCCAGCAGCACAGCTTTGTACAGTAAGTCTGAGAGGGTCTGACAGGCCCCTGGGACCAGCCAGGCAGATCAAACGACCTCCCTGGTATCCCACCAGATGTCCTTACTGGGACGGGTTCAGATGGTCCCAGTGAGCAGCGAAGAAAAGGTCAGAGTCACACAGTGGGTTAAACTGGACCCATCATGAAATTGGCTCAGGCTTGCAGGCTTGTGCAGCACCGCTCCGCTCAGCAGCAGGGATTATTTCAATTAAGGCTCACGCTGGCTGAACCCGAGATTACAACAGGGTTTAGAGTGGCAGGGCACATCTGAACAGCACATGGTCAGCCAGGCAGCTCCCAGGGATTATATGGCTGAAATACAACAGGCACTCATAATCAGCAGTAATACTGGCAAAATGAAAAGCCTTCTTCTATTAAAAGATATAGGTTGCATACAGAAACTTTTACCTCAGTAGAGCAAGTTCAACTTTCTGAAATATTGTGTTTTAGTTGCTGAATTTGTCCTGACTCGCTATTAGTTGAAATTTTGTTCACAGTTTAGTTTAAAACACTTAAAATACAGCTGGAACCGAGCTGCTACAATCATTCAAAATCAACTTTTAAATGCTAATTTTATATAAAAGTGTTAAATATTGTAGAAAATTGCAGGTCTGCTTTTGGACTACTATTACAGTTTTAATAGCTATTGTTATTTCATCCATCCTTGTCATAATTCTAAACTGAAAAAGAGTCACCTGGAAACAAATCTGACCCCTAACCACCTGAGTTAATCCTTTAACATTCAGATTTCTTCTTTTATTCCAAGAACATCATTCTCTGCATACCTATTCTTACGATATTAGTACACACACATCACTGTACAGTGAACAAACAAGTCCAAGTCCATCTTCCTCTGCCCTTGTTCTTGGCTCTGTGTGATTACATTACTAGCTTCTGATAGATGCTTTTATTCAGACTTGTTTGGTTTGACTTGACTGACCCGTCTCAGCTGGGTTGACGAGGCTCGTGACTGACACTGCCCTAGCTTGTTACCACAACACTGTCGGATATGTATAATGATGATCTGACGCAGGACAGTGAAGTGTTACCTGTGCAAACTAAAAACTGCATGTCAGGAATCAATAAAACATTGCACGACTCTTATCAAAGCTGTAGCTCCTCAGTCATCATGTGTTACATCTTAACCTCTCCCCTCTCCAGAATGAGGATGAGAGGGACAGTTACCTCCTCATCTCTTCTTTGTTATTCAGAGGTGTGGTGCCTCTATTACTGAATGAGATGAAAAGGTGGTATCACCTGTTTCTGATCAAACTAACAAATGAGAAATTAGCCTGTGCCCTCTGTGCTGTATGCACGGCATGATTTGGACATGAACAGCATTACTGCTCGACCCAGCTTTAGCATTCAGGACAGCGAGCAGCGACTCGGGCTGGCATTTCACCTGCAGACAGTCTAGGCTGATTGAGATGCGTCTGAGGAAGCGGCTGAGACACAGTGAAGACTCACCTAATTGGCCCCAGACTTGGGCTTAATTCCTGATTCTCAGGACGGTCCACATTTCAAAGCAGTGCCCTGATCAATTAATGGACCGGTAATGTGCCTCATTTTCATACAAGGCCAGAGTCTTAGGTTGGGAAAATCAGATATCCGCCACCTTCGACTCAGCCAGCGAGCATCAGCTGGAGTTATGTGGAAGAGAATTCAACATGATACTCTGCTGTATAGAGCAGAATCACACAATGAATATTTTTGCCTGGCTCTATTTCTCCTTTTGACCCATTTTTAACATTTAGTGTTTGAGGTCTTTCATCTATAGGAATTTGAAAAGTGGCTCTGGTTGAAAACTAAGTGGCCAACAAGTAATTCATCAATACAGCCAATCAGCATTCAAGGTTTAGCTATTATTTGAATAGCATGCAACATCCACTGTCTTTAGACCCTAAATCAGATAAGGTGAATCCTCCATCCAAAACAGAACAAAATAAAATTAGAAGAAACCTCAGGAAGCGCAACAGAGGGGGGATCTTTCATCCGGGACAGACACACAGCCAGTGAACTTGGGACTGATGAAGGACGAAGATCCAGATCCGGACATGTGAACAGGCACTGACAGTCAGAGTAGGGGGGTGGGGGGTGGGGGGTCCAGCATGGGATGGCCCAGCACAGAGAACCTGAGTGACAGAGAGGACAGGGAGGAGAGCAGAGAGAGGCACAGATCAGACGCTCACGTGCTCCAGGAAACAAACAGGGTTAGAGAGATGCAGCGATTCTCAGAAAGTTTGCAGGACAACTTGGACACCTTAGACTGAGACCCACCAGTGAGAGAACAGTACCAAATACAAGACAAGAAGTAATTGAGACTATGCCACTAGTTGAAAGCTACAGCGTACAGATGATTTTCAAGTCTGGATTTAAATACCTCTTCTGAATCCGACTGTCAGTTTTCCCAGAGGAAGGAGGAATGATGGGAAAAGGCCATGCAGCCTTCTTTTAAACCCTGGGGACAGACAGGAGCCGTGCATTCTGAGAGTGGAAAGCACTGAATGAAATCTAAGTAGCAGTAGTAGTACTGCATGTGGCAGGCCTGAGAACAAATCATTGCAATAATCAAAGCTAATTTACACAAAAGTGTGATTTAGAGTCTCTACATCTGATAGAAAAGACAATTCTAGTTGTTGCGATGGAGTAAAAAGGCAAATGTTTTGAATGTGCTGGTCACAAGAGAGAGTACGATCAAACCCAACCCTTTTCTGTCAGACTTCAACAAATCACACAGTTGTTGGTATCAGACCAGCATCAGCATCTCAATTTTATCTGACCTGAGGACAAGAAAGCCTTTAATTTTATAATTACATATAGTACTAAAACATCTGATTAGTACACCAGCAAACACAAACAAGCCTAATCTATGTCATTTATAGAAAACATTCTATATCCTGCTAATTAGAATTTAACCAACTGTGTTAGGTTGTACTGTGTGAGTGATGATAAAAGACTTTCTTGTTCTTAATATTACATCAAATAAATAATTTGTACCTTACAAATATTTTACATGACAATATCTATCAGCTTTTCCTGAATAAAGTGGGGGTTATTTTTCAGCTCTAGCTGTTTTCAATGCTCCTCTATTATAATAAAATTTCTGTATCTAAAAATCCTACAAAGCTCAACAGTGTATGAGACACGCTAACAGTATTTCTCTGCACTTCGGCTCCGACAGCCATAACCACACGGCACTTTAAGGTAGAACAAGGTACAGCCCTGCTGTTTTCTCAGTGGCAGCCTGAAATATGAATGAGCAGCCAGTCTATACATCATGTTAGCTGACATCTTGTATTAAAATTTATGAATGGCTTCATCAAAAAGCACTTTCTGCCCGACAGATTTGCCCTGACATCGAAGTTACATGGTTGGTTGGAGCCTCAGATAAATGTGTGCACATGTGTGTCTTTGGATAAGTGTGAAATTACAGTGTGTGTACTCTGAGCTACTATAGTGTACCAGTGTGCAACCTGTGTGCACTGTGTGTGTATGCATCCTCATAACACCAAATAATATGACGCTGTAAAGATTTTTGTGGCCTGTAACTGAATTTAAGATCTCACAATAAGGGAAATAAATGACAAAATATATGAAACAGGATGTGAATAAACCATGTGCAAGGCAGGAGGCACTATGCTCCAAAAACCAATGTGGAATAACACCTATATTTAGGAGGTTCTAATACTTTACTTTTTTAGAGTGCATTATTTTGTTTGTGTGAGAAAAATACAACATTATCTTACATTAGTTGAAAGTTTTTCTTTAGGGAATCAGTGGATTTTAAAAGAAAGAGTAAAAGTCACAACTGTAAAACATGAATAAATCAAAATCCACTAATAAAAGCAAACAAAACTCAGCACAGCAACTAATAAAGATCCACACTGATGGCAAAAGTGTGCATGTTTGTGTGTGTGTCTCCACCAGCCTCTCTTCAGTCTCTGGGTTTTGAAATA